GAGCTGAGGAAGCTTCTGGGATGAGAAGTCTTTGAAGAAAAAGCAGAAAGTCCAGTTGCCTCTTGAAAAAAGCATCTTTGGGACCATCTATATATCATGGATTGTCAGGCATTGTGAAAACATATGTTATTTCCCCCCTTTGGGGTGGGGGAAACTAATATTTCAAGCCAGTTGAAAGCTCCTTAGGTTCTTATAGGGACAGCAACCACCTTGTTACAGAGAATAAAAGGATAAATGAGTTCATTGGGATTTTACTCAGCTAGTAGTTGCCAAATAAAGGAGATGGTACTCATTCTTCGTTTCAAGGCTATTGAACCAGCACTATCTGAAGACATTTCTGTGGTGATGCAGCCAGCATGACGTGACGGAGTGCTGTTACCTTCCCACCGGAAGTGGTACCTATTTATCTACTTGCATTTGTTTGCTTTCGAACTGTTAAGTTGGCAGAGCTGCAGTGAGGACAGGAACTCGCCCCATTGTGTGGCGTGCGGGTCTCAGACGTGGGCTGCTGGCTTTCCAGCCGACAAATCCAGGGTCTTAACTGCTGAGCCAACCAGTTGTCTGCTTGTTACAGAGAATACACCTGTGAAATGCAATGTGACAACAGAACTCCACTTGATGGGAGTCCTCTAATGGAAACCGTTCCCAACGGTTCAGTGGCATGCCAAAAATTGGGCCACACAGACAAGTGAAGCCCAATCCGTGGGCTGCAAGCAGCACACAAGACCACACCCCCTCCAGTCCACGGAAAAAAAAACTCTTTACAGAACTGGCCTTTGGTGCCCAAAAGGTTGGGGGCCACTGCTCCAGAACATTCAGTGCCAGCAATTGTGGAAGCTGTAATCCCAATTCATTTGCATGGACAAAACTGTTTTTTTTAGATCAGCGGTCACCAACTGGTGGTCCGTGGACCACTGCTGATCCACAAGAAAACTTTGGTGGTCCACAGAAAAAATATTTGCATAATTTCATATTGCACCAAATCAGGGGTCCTCAAACTATGGCTGTTGAGGTAATTCCCTGTTAGGAGAATGAGCGCATACAGGGAGACGTATAGAGAGTAGCGTTGGAATAATACACACAGAGCACACAGATACACTGTACAGTAAATGTAGGTTTTTACTTCCAGAAAGGTTTAAGCAAAGTCCAAAATAAGCAGTCCAAAAGTCATTCACAGGTAAATCAGTCAGTTTTTCAATCCAGGGATAATCGAAATATCAAATTCCAGTGTCAAAAACAGTTCAGTATCAGACTTACATCAAATCCAGTAATATCAGTCAATTAGGAAAAATGGAGCAACAGCAATACTTTCCAACAGAAGGAAACAGAGATACTCAGATACACTCTCTTCTGAGACTAAGACTAAACAACCCAGGTTTCTGGCTCCATCTAATGGATGTTTGAGAAACCACATCCAATTGCATGCTCTTGCATTCCCTTAAAGATATAGTACTAAAATGTTTATCCTGGTTTATATATTTCTAACCCAAATACCTGTTAGGTGACTTATATTCCTAACAATGGCCCTTGGGTAGAATACATGCAATGAATGTTTGTGTTGCTGCAGTCTCCTTTGGGGTGTTTTTGTGCAGGTCAGAGGGAGGCAGAAATTCCAACTTGGGGTCTGCTTCAGCCTCTTGGTGCAGGGCTTTGGGCAAAGGCTGGAGGGAAGAACCACTGGTGGCGAAGAGCCGGAGTGGGACTACATCATGGCCTGGAACTGGTTGACCATCTCAGTCTGCTAAGCCTCCAGGTGCTGGTACCTGGCCTTGCACTCCCGCAGGTCTTCCCTCTGCTTGGAAAACCTATGCTCATAGTCCTCAGTGAGGTGCTTCTGCTGACCCTCCTCCTCGGTCAGATCCAATTTGAACTGAGCCAGCTGTTTTGCCAACTCTTTCTTGTGGTGGTTGCTTAGCTACAATTGCTTCCTGTTGGGGCCCTAAGGAGCCTGGGTAGGCAGGTGAGGAGTGTCTGGGAGAGGGGAGAAGAGCATGGCAAAGTGCCCCTCGATATGAGTGACATCAAGTTGGCCATGCCCACCCAGTCACATGACCACCTAGCCACACCCACCCAGCCGGTCATTAGGCAGGATCATATTAGTGGTCCACGGGGTTTAAAATTATGAATTTAGTGGTCCCTGAGATCTGAAAAGTTGGTTTAGACAACCCTGTTTTAGACAACCAGATTTAGACTGCAACCTTAGACCGAGAATGTAGTTATGTATGCACGTTTGGGAAGCTGGATGAAGCTGTTAATCATCTCCGTTTGTGTCCAGTGCCTTGTATTTCTATTTAAATCAGTCGTGTATTCTGAATTTGTGCTGGACTTGCAAAGGTGCCCTTCTGTCTCCTCTTTTGGAATTACACCTTTTCTTTGCAGCAAGGTGTAAACGGCCCATTTGCTACACAGAGTATTTTTGGCTATCTGGGTCACCCATAGAAAGTTGCCTTACTCTAGCTATACTGACTGGGGTATTCTGGGAGTTAAAAGTCCACACATCTTGAAGCTGTTGAGGATCAACACTGCCTTGAACCAAGCCCAGCTGCATTTATGGATCACGCAAAACCAAGGTTTATTTTAATAGCTTAAATATATTTTACCACTTTTCAAACAAGGGACTGGGTTCATACATACTGAAGAAAAAGCAAATGAAGTAATAGGTATTATGCCTTCGCAGAATATGTGAAACCATCTACTGGCTAAACTAACTAAATGATCTCTATTACCTACAGTAAAAATTCCTGACAGCTCAAATCATCTCTTTACATAGCAGCTTGTATGCTTTAGACACTGAGAGAGATACAATTCGGGGCTCCTTAGATACTCATGGTTAGAGCCAGTTTGGTGTAGTGGTTAAGATGCTGGCCTGGAAGCCAGGAAACTGTGAGTTCCAATCCTGTCTTAGGCACAAAAAGTGGCTGGATGATTTTGGGACAGTCACTGTCTCTTAGTCCAACCTGCCTCACTGGGTTGTTGTTATGGGGAATATAAAAAGCAGGAGTATTAGATATGTTCTCTCCATTGCAATGACCACCATGTGATATAATAATAACAATCTCAAGCACACCATTGGCATTGACAAAAATCGCTATCGGTCAATTGCAAAAGGCAGCTTTACATGGAACAGCTTACATTCTATGATGATGAATTTAGTTATTCTACAACAATGCGTGCCTATTATTCCAGGTCCTCGGGAGGAACTTGATAGGTGAATAAAATAATGCCCAACCCAGTCTAATCATCTGGCTCACTTTGCAATCAACCATAATAATAATCATCCCAACTGCAATCCAAAGGATTGTTCAGAGATTATGCAGACAAAATTCGTATTATATCTATACTGATAAAGCAGGATCACACGTGAAAACAGAATGCAGTTTGCTGTTATGTATTTTCTATACAGGTAGCTCTCAACTTATAACACTTCATTTAGTGGCCGTTCAAAGTTACAACGGGACTGAAAAAAGTGACTTGTGATCATTTTTCACACTTATAACCATAGCAGTGACTTAGTGCACCTAGTCACGTGATTGACATGCGGATGCTTGACAAATGACTCACATTTATGACAGTTGCAGTATCCTGGGGTCATGTGATCCCCTTTTCCAAACTCCCCAAAAGCAAAGTCAACGGAGAAACCAGATTAACCACTGTGTTACTAATGGCAGTGATTCTCTTAAGAAATGTGGCAAGAAAAATGGTAAAGCTCTCTTAACAAATTCCTCGCTTAGCAACAGAAACGTTGGGCTTGTGGTTGTAAGTTGAGGACTACCTGTATTCATAGCAAGTATTTTCCTAGGTTCAGGATATTAGATCAGGGGCCTTCAAACTTGATGCCTTTAAGACTTGTGGACTTCAACTCCCAGAATTCCTCCACCAGTCATGTTAGCTCAGGAATTCTGGGAGTTGAAGTCCACAAGTCTTAAATGTGCCAAGTTTGAAGACCCTTGCATTAGATGGGGAAAACATGGACCAGAAAGTAGAAATGGCTGCACAGAAGGGACACCGGAGGCGTTCATTAATCTTGGCCTTTATTCTTAGTTGACAATCTCAAGTAGCATGAAGAACGGACTGTCCTTCTCCTCAGACCAACACAGACAAGGCACCATGCTGAGGCCACAACACACGAGCAAGCAAGAAGGCCAAACCCGGCATATGTGAATTCCGAAGCACAGGTCCAGGGGTGATATTTTAAGCCACTGTAGAAGGGCGGCCGTCTGACCACGTGAGCTTCGTGAAGATATGAGCACATGGCCTCCTTTAACGATTTGGGACAACAAGCAAAGATCAGAGCATCAGCAGTTACGGTACAAAACTTAAAAGCTTTCAGGGAGCGTCCAAAAATTTAGGGGAGAGATAGTAAGTAGACAGTGAAAATGAGGACTCTTTGCATTTTCCCTTCTAGGGAAATGATGATGTATATATATCTACTCTGTTAGTTCAAACAGATATAAGGCACATTCAGATGACGATTTTAAGAAGAGGTGAACATGCAGGCAGAAGAGACGCCTATGAGAATGGTCCTATCCTGAGGGAATCTCCTCTCTTCTTGGCAGGGAGATCTTTTTTTATTTAACACAGGAAAACTGCTGTGGACCCCCAAAATTGAGATTAAGAACTGGGAGAGTGGGAGCGGTGAGGATAGAAGACAAAAGAGCCAAAAGGAAGTTTGCTAAGTGGAAGAATCTTAGCTATATGTAGCACCAAACACTATGGCACACACGGAGAAGATGGTGATATATCAAGCAAGTTGGGAAGGGTTAGATCGGGGTGGGGAACAATGGCCCCTTTTATGACTTGTGGACTTCAACTCCCAGAATTCCTCCTCCAGTCACGTTAGCTCAGGAATTCTGGGAGTTGAAGTCCACAAGTCTTAAACGTGCCAAGGTTGAAGACCCTTGATTTAGATCAAAGGTCTCCAAACTTGGCAACTTTAAGACTTGTGGACTTCAACTCCCAGAATTCTCCACCCAGCATAGCTTAATTAATAAGCATAGCTGGCTGGAGAATTCTGGGAGTTGAAGTCCACAAGTCTTAAAGTTGCCAAAGTCTGGAGACCCCTGGTTTAGATCAACAGAACTGGGATACCCACACATCGCTAGGCTTGTTAAGGACTGTAAAACCGAATCCCTCTCTGTACCTAGGCGGTAACTCTTTAGGGAAACAGCTGAGCAAAATCCTAAATGACCTCCCCTTGCTATAGAAATCCCTGAAATCAGGCCACCCACCTGGCCTTTAAAAAAATAAATAAAAACAGATCTTGGGTTTCAACCTTCATCCTTACTCCATTCTTATATTCTTCCAGGCCTTTTTAGAACTAGAGCCGTTGTTAGATCCTTGAGGACAGCTTACGTATAGGAAAAAAGGGTTATCTAGTGACCAGCAGGCTCAGGTAACAAAAACAGCATCAAGGAAAGGAACGACAGGATCCTGTTTTACAAAGTGACGGTGGAAATCAGTATACACGGATCCACACTGCGACACACTGATGTCGCAGGTCCACCCAGAGACATCACCAGCTATCACGGTGCTACAGCAGAGTAACGAGACCTCAGCATTTGCAGATACTGATCGACATGCAACAATCTTGTCCGTAGGAAAGGTATGGCATTCACAGGAGGGCACTGATAGGAGGAACACTAAATATGGGTGCATATTGATGATGATCCATGGGTGGTCACTCTCAAGACGACTTTTTCTTGTCCTTCTGACCCCATCAGTTCATCCGTCCTGGTTTCTTCTGACTCATCTGCTGCAGAGACACCAACCCCAACCCCGCCACAGAAAATTAAAATTCAGTCATCACTCCCATGAACATGGAGACTTTCCCCAGTGAAATATGCATTAGAGTCTCCGTGGCGCAGTGGTTAAGAGTGCAGTACTGCAGGCTACTTCTGCTGACTGCCGGCTGCCTGCAATTTGGCAGTTCGAATCCCACCTGGCTCAAGGTTGACTCAGCCTTTCATCCTTCTGAGGTGGGTAAAAGGAAGACTCAGATTGCTGGGGGCAATAGGCTGACTTTGCAATCCCGCATAGAGAGGGCTGGAAAGCACTGTGAAGCGGTGTATAAGCTATTAAGTGTGTTTCTTCATCTCCAAGAGGTCTCAATAATACTCATGCTCGCTGGGGAATTCTGGGAATTAAAGAGCTCTCATCTCGAGGGTGTTTAGATTGGGGTAAGACGGAATAGTCGCCAGAACAGAGATGTTCTCCATTAGCATAGACCAGGGATGTCAAACTCAATTTCACTGAGGGCCACATAAGGATTGTGTTTGACCACAGGGGGCCGGGGGGGGCATAGTCGGGGGGAGTGGCCAGCTCAATGTCACTCATTGAGGCTCTATTTTTGACCATGTCAGTCCTCTCGGGGTCTGTTTTCATCCACAATTGCCCTCCCGGGCTCCGTTTTTGGCCAGAGTAGGTTCCCGCAGCCTTCTGCCAGTGGAAATGGAGCTTGAGGAGGCTGTGCGGCCCACCCAGGCTTCGTGTTTGACTGCGACAGCCTCCCGCAGCCTTCTGCCAGCAAAAACATAGCTCCGGGAGGCCACGCACAGCCCGCCCAGGCTGTTTTCAGCCTCGACAGCTTGCAGCAGCCTCCCCAAGCTCCCTTTTTACTGGCAGAGGCACCACGGGCCAGTCCTTCGCTGTTTCCAAGGTGGGCCCGCGGGCCATATCTAAGTACTCCATGGGCCGGATCCAGCCCTCAGGCCTTGAATTTGACACCCTGGCATAGAGAATCTGTGGCCCTCCAAATACTGAGAAACTACAACTCCCAACATCCCTAGCAAGCACACTGATTAAAAGTACCTCAGGCTACCTACTTCCAGAAGATGAAACCCAGAAAGGTGTTGCTCATCACTTGAGCTGTGTTTTCTCTTTGGCTAATTAAGGACCGCCTCTTTTGTCTCCAACCAATTGTTTTTCCTCCTTCCACACAGCCCAGATTTTGGGTTCTACTTAATCCGCTAAATATGGAATGGAAGCCAGGATAGGTAACCGCATATTTACTCTAGCTAAGTTGCTACTGAGAAGGGCTTTGTATTTGCTCCACCCCTTCCTCTCCGCAGCTCAGCAATCTTCGAGCGATACCTGAGAGATGCTAACACCGGTCAGTTTCTCAACAGTGTCAGGCAGCTTATTCATGATTTCCAGGACTTCCCCGGTCATCTTCGCAGCACCCACATCTCCGTTCCCGCTTGACACCATGGTGATCTTGTTGACGGAAGCCAATGGTTTGCTGATCTCTTCGGCTATCTGTGAAGGGAATGCGAAGACACCCAATGATTAAGGTAGCAAACTTGGATAGAGATTGCAGTTCAAGTCCCTACTTGATCAGGAGACTGAGGGAGATGACTTTGGGCTTCTCTCACTGTCCAAACTACCTTACAAGATTGTTGGGGTGGGAAAAAAAATCAGGGAAAATTCCAATTGAAGACTGGAAAAGTCTTTCCAGCGCAAAATAGTATATAGAAGCAAATTATTATTACCCTCAAAGGAACCATTTAGACCAGGGGTGTCAAACTTGATTTCACTGAGGGCCGAATCAGGGTTGTGTTTGACCTCGGGGGAGCGAGGTGGGTGTGGCAGGGATGGGCGTGGCCAGCTCGACATCACTTGTGTTGGGGATGCATCTGAGGTGACCAAGTGCTAAGGCAGAACTTCCCTCAGATCCTCCCTCACTCTTATTAGAATCTCTTTCCTTCCTTCCTTCCTTCCTTCC